AGAAACAGCCTTACTGCTGACAATCATCCACTGGAAAATCAGCAACAGAGTTTAAGTCAAAAGTCGATGAATTACTGCTCAGCGATTATTCAGCTTTTCATGTCCTACTGACAAATGCTCACAGACATCCCTTACCTATCTCTGATGTGCCAAAAAATCCTTTTTTATTTCATGCTTTTCCCCTTGAAAAGCATGGTCTTATCCCATGAAATATGGTCTTATCCCCACTTTAGAGACATGGAATTGAGTCAGAGAGTTGAGGAGGAAACAATGTAAGAGCCAGATTTTTGAAGGTTTTCAAGTCACCAAAGAAACTGTGAAGCAGCCAGTGTGTAACTTGTGCATTTGGAGTGAAGAACAAGAGTCTTTATCTCTCAAATACAAACAGAGAGGCTTGAGTCTGCTGATCAAAGCAGCTGCAGGAACAGCACCCCAAGCACCAGGCCCCCGAACACAGGCACAGAGGTTACTTTTGGAACTTTAACTTCCCTCAGTGGAAGTTAAAGACTTCTCTCTTGTTCATAACTCTTTTTAAAAACTCTGCACTGGACAGGAACTCGAACTGGAGTCCAAAATGTTCAGAGAGCAAAAGCAAATTGAGATGGAGTTTTAAGGTCTTTGAACAGCACGAACAGATGTGTAACATGGCAGAATGTGCTGTGTCACTTTACCAAGAGTGGCATGAGCACATTCCATGTTTATTCTCAAAATGCAGAGAATCACTGAATGTAAATGCAACAGATATATTTGGGAATGTGTCCTTAAAGTGGGGAAAGTAGCAGTTAGCACAGGAGCTCTGGGGAGGGTGAGGAGATGCAGAGTACTCCCACTGAACAGAAGGAAGGTAGATGGAGGTTGATATCACTTGATGGACAGCTTGTGATGTCCTCCTGCAAGAAGGAGACTCCAAGACATTTTTTTGAAAGCTGAGTCATTTTTCTGAAAGAGTTGATTGTAGCAGTGCCTAAGGTCAAGCTCTTGTCCTTCAATGTGGAATGGATAACAATATAATGAATTTCTGAACTATTCACACACAGATTTTAAAAGACTACAGTATTGCATGAGAATAAAACAGGGAAGCAAACCTCCTAGGATATCAGTGTATCTCCACTGGTGGTATTCCACACAGACTAGAATTACATTTCTCAGAAATGTACATTGGTTTTATAGTTAAGAGCACTCAGTGCTCCCTCTGACAATGTGTGGTTAACTCTTCCTTTTTTCTGTCCAGGGCTGATACTGTAGTGTTGAACAATTTCTCATGACACGTCCTTTTCATCCTACAAATATCAGTGTACTAGTACTTCCCCCAGATCCTCTAGTCCAAGTTTTCTGCAAAACAAAAACAAAAGATAAACAAACCCCCACCTTCAGCATTCTTGGTCCTCACATCTCCTCAGCTGGTTCTTTTCACCCTCCTTGTTGATTCACAAATCTAAGTCCATTGTAATACCAGTGCAAAGTTATCCCTCCAGGCTAGTATTTTAGCCATACCCATATCTCACTTCTCCCTTCTCTACTGCAGTCTTGACAAGGCAATAAAACAAATCACTTTTAAAAGTCCTTACAACTGTGTCCTACACTTCCTAACTTCTGTGACAAGACACAGGATGATTGTTTCTTCTCTCCACTTCTCACATCACTGCCCTTAGTGTCTAAGGATATCTACTAATCTTCCTATCACTCCTTTTGAAGGAGAAAGATTCCACTGAACATCAAAGAATGAGAAAACACAGTATCTTCCTTGACACGGGGTTTTTTGGAGATGTTTACATTCTTATCCATGATTCGGCAGCTGGTTCTTGTGATTGCATTCAGTACTCAAGGCCAGGTTTGACGGGGCTTTAAGCAAACTGATCTAGTGAAAACTGTCCCTGTCCATGGCAGAGGGGTGGACTAGATGATCTTGAAAGGTCTCCTCCAAACCAAACCATTCTGTGATTCTGGGATTGGATCTTGTTTTGTTTATCACAGCTGCTTTGATGACACAGGTGTATTTTATGCAGTATTTATGTTGCACACTCAAGATTCCCGTGTGTTTAACACACAAGTTGTGTTGTTTATCTCTACATTTTCCTGCACCGCTCTCAGCCTTGCCCTGTCACTGAGGCCTCTCTGTGGTATTACATTACAATAAAATGATCGAGATCTGAGACTCAAACCATATGTTCTCCTGGATCCAATTCTCACCACATTGTCCTAAAATGGCAGATGAATCCAGCCCTCCACTCTTGCAGTGACTGGGAGCGACAGGACCATATCAGTAGTGCTTAGAACCAAGTCTTTTAGGTAGAAAGGTTATTAAGGCACAAGGGCTTGTCCAAATCATTTCAGTGGGGGAGAAGCCTGTATGCCCTCATGAGGTGGCGAGCTGTGCTGGCAGTGGTATATGCCTCCAGTAGGGTCTCCCATGCCAGACAGGTCAAAACTGAAGGGTCAGATAAAAACGTGTCCATGGGCAGGATGGGCTCACTGGCCTTCTGGCAGTCATTCTAGGTGAAGGATAACTCTAATTTCAAACCTGGGTAGATGGAGCTTGCTTAGCCATGTAAGGCCATCCATCCAAGAGAAGGGTACTCTAATTAAACCTATGTCCTGAGGACCTCGCTGTCACCATCCAAGCTTGCTAGGCCGTGGCAGATGAACCTCAGGAGTAAAAGGTGGGACCAGTTCTGCGCATGCTGAGCCTCACCTAAAAAATCCACTGTGCAGGTTTGAAGGATTTCTTAAGGCATAGCCCTCCTGCTTAGTAAAACACAGATCTGTAACCTTCTTATCATTCCTAGAACTGTTTCCCAGGTGCAAGCTGATACAGAGACCAACTTATAACCAACTGGTAACCTTCAGCTTGAACCCAAGTGATGAAGAAAGCTGAACAGGGAAGGGAAAATGCTTGTAGACGATCAGAAGCACAGATCATACGTTGCTGAGTCAGCTGATAGAAAGACACAAACTTTTTTGGTTCACCTGGAATTGAAGAGTCTTGATCCTGTGCATACAGAGTACCCATCTCTGGGGACCCCTCTCCTTCAGTGGTGCTGGCGTGTCCCCTCCCAGGCTGGCAGCCTGGCTGTGCCTCTCTCTAGATCACTCCCTGTTCCCCATTTGGGGTTCTATGACGTCAGCTCTGAGGTCAGGCAGGCAGGGCCCCCTCCCAAACACAACAGACTATAGATAGCTGCCGCAGCAAATGCTTTTCATTAAGTACCCCCCCTCCTCAGCCCAGTGCGGGTGGGAGCAGCAAGAGGCCCCTGTGCTGCTCTGCTACGTGTTTTCTGTTATTTGGGGTGAGCTGTGCATTCCTCACAAGCTTTGAATGTCATGCAGAGCCCCAGGGGAATCCTCAGAGGAGTGGGAGGAGAGACCAGGCCGGGGAAGCTGCCTGAGCACACCAGGGAAGAGGCACCCCCTGCCCATGTCAGGCTGTGGAGATGCCTAAAGCAGAGGGATGTACCAGGCCTGTGCCAGCACCCCCTCCCACACAGCAACCAACCCCTCAAGAGATGGATTTAAAAGCCTTCTACTTCCAACCAGCAGAACTTGCTCAGCTAGCCCTAGTCTGCCAAAGCAGACCATGAGGTGATAAATCTGTCTCTGTGTGCCCAAAAAGTAAAGAAACAACTTCAGATTAAGACTGTGAATCAAGAGTAGCTGGATATAAATCAGCCATTAAGACACGCAACAAGAAATCTGGAGATTTCTAGCTGTTAGGGCAATCAGGCTCCAAAACACCCTTCCAAACTAAAAAGGACATAGAAAAAAAAATCCCATCTGCTTCCAAATGAAAGCCTGATAAAATTGTGATTACAGGATTTTGTATCTGTGACAGCTGAGGATCACACACACACAGACCAAGAATGGCTGCACACTGCCTTCCCATCCTGTACCATGGAAATCTGACCTGGACTCCCTTCCTGGAGCACACGTGGTGTCTTGTACTAAGGACAGAAAAATAAACTCCAAGCTCGCCCCCCTCTCCCGCCCCCAAACTATTTGTGTCTGTCTTTGCGTGTTAAACCCAAGATGCCCAGTTCATGTTTCAGTGTCAGCTCACAGAGTTTGCACAGAAGATTGTTATGGATATAGTATGGATATGGAAATGTAGGGCTGGAAAGTAGTTCCTGGAACGGCTGGAGGCAGTGAGCTCAGTAGCCACGCCCCAATTCGCTGCCACGCATTTCGGTCATAAATACATCTCGGGGAAAAGCTTCCATGTGGCTGAGGAAATGCCAGCACTGGGCCGAGGACTGAGCTTTATGATCCCTGTTATAAAAATACACACGGACCATTCTCTTTAAAGTGACATTTTGAGACTGTAACTTATTTAAAGCACAGTATACCAGTTTGTGGAGTGCAAGATGTATAGAGATGCTGAATAGGACAGCACGTGCAGCACTCGTGGCATCTCACGCAGATGAGGCTACCACGGCTCCTCTCTAACTGTAATACAAATCCTAAAGAGAAATAACACGAAATATTCACCACGGCTGCCACACACAGTCCCCGGCCTTGCCTATTTGTCCTCGGCACACTCAGCCGAGGGACCCCAGTCCGGGGTCCCAACAGAGTCGTGTCCCAAATGGCAGTGCCACCAGTGCCACCTCTGCTCTCCATGCAGTCCAGGGGACAGAACCTGAGCCAAACTACCGAGGGCCGACCCGTTCCCGGAGCCTGCACTTCTGCACAGATCTCCGCCCCAAACCCTGTCCGTAGCCCTGCCCACAGCTCCGCTCACGTCCCTGCCCACAGCCCTGCCCACAGCCCCGCTCGTGTCCCTGCCCACAGCCCCGCTCACGTCCCTGCCCACAGCCCTGCCCACAGCCCCGCTCGTGTCCCTGCCCACAGCCCCGCTCACGTCCCTGCCCCCTTCCCCGCCCCGTCCCCGGCGCGGCCTGCATGGCGTCAGTGCCCGCGGCAGGCACTGGGCCCGTTTGCGGTGGGCGAGGCGCGAGCGGGATGAGCCGCGGGGTGAGTGAGTGGCCCTGGTGCGTGTCCCCCAGTGACCGCGGGTGGGAGCGATGCTCCGGGCCCGGGGGCTGGCTCGGACCGGGGTTTGGAGCGGCGCTCCCCATCGCGGTGCTGGGCGGAGGCGTCAGCGCCGTGCCATTGTCCCGGCAGGTCCAGGGCACCGGCGGCAGCAGCGCCGTCAGCAAGTGCTCGGCGGCAGCGCGGGGCTACATCCAGGACCGGTTCCAGCGGCTCCTGGCGGGGCGGCAGCGCCGGCGAGCGCCGCTTATCCACCGGTGAGGAGGGGGCGCTGCGCGGGACTCTTGGCTGCTCTGTCCCGAGTGAAATGCGCCACTAGACTGGTTCCTAACTCCGGTATTTAATGCTGCTGAAAGCTACTTAAGATTTGAAAACATGCTACTAATGTAAGCACATCAGTAGATTTCCCATTAACTCTCCTGACCGCTACAATTTCAGTAAGGTATTTGGTGGCTCTACGAAGCAGGATTATCTTTTGGATAAGCAGTGTCTGACCAGGAGCTCTTCTCCAGAGCTTTGCAAGACACAAACATGTTTTAATGTGTGTGTGCAGAGGGTTCTAAGCTGATGTGGTCGTGGAGTTTACATAATTCGAGGCAAATAGTTTAAAGCAATTCAAATAACTGTGAATTGCCAAAGGAGTTTTGTTCAGAGCAAAAAACCAAACAGTGGTGTTTAAGTAGAAGCTTGCAGGCCTATAAAGACAGGTGTGGCTCATCAAGTCAGGAAGCTGAGCCTGTGTTCATTTGCCACACAACATTGGCAGGCCAAGCTGAATTCATAGAAATAGTTGTGTATTGCAGTTATCAACACTGCCATCATGAATACTGGGACATCTTAGACTATCTGGTGAAATATTTGTCCCTGTGAGGAATGGAGATGAAAACATGCTTGTAAAAGGGATGATAGGAGCTGGGATATAGCTGGGTGGATATACAATAAAACCAACTAGAAGAGAATGCCAAGGAACAAGAGGAACAAGTCCCTGCCAGACTAGGAAATGGTAAACACTTCCCAGGAGTTAGACTTAGTTCCATTTATTCAGAAACGAGAGAACAGAAGTCCTCTCCTGAGTTTGCTTCTCTTCCTTTTTTTGTTCCCCTGTCACTGCATTTGTATCCATTCATTTTGTTGTTATAGCATCTGATTTGGGGCAGGAACTCAGGTATTGGCCATCTGCATTGCAGGGGAGCATCCTCACTAATACATTTTCACTCAGTGAATATTTACTTAGGTAAAACAGAACAGATCCAGCTGGGATATCTGCACGTTTTCTTGGAGTTATCCATAGTCTTGATGGTTAATACTCTCACTGAGTGCAGGAGTTGTGTATTTGTTAGGAACCTCGAGAAATGACAAAGTCATCTCCCAGTGCACACGTCTGTAAATGATGGGTTATTGGGTAGAAGCTGAGAGAAAAAACCTTTATTTTTCTGAAATGGAAGATGCCAGTGCTGGAGAAATCGGGTTCCTGGACAGCGATTCCAACTGAATTTCTTTCGGCAGGGGTTATTACGTCCGTGCCCGTGCTGTAGATCACTGTGTCCAGGACTTCCTGCTGAAGACACAAAGCCACCCTAGGACACAGGTGTGTTTTCTCTGGGGGTACTAGAAGGTTCCACTATATGTGTGAAAAGTCCCTCTGGCATCTGGGCACTGCAGTAAGTTGTTAGTGCATCTGTTGGGATCCTTTCCCAGGAGGGCACAGAGAATCTTGACTGGCACTGCTGTGGATCTCCATGTGTCACTTTGGCAGAAATACCCGGGAGAGGGCAATATCCACACAAAATTCTTCTGCCCCTTGCAGGAGGCTGCCTGATTTTGTCACTCTGCAGATAATATTGAATATTTTTCACACCTGGATGCTCAGGATGCAGCTAGAGTTGAGCATAACTTCTTCTGACACTTTCTCTGCAGGTCCTGTCTTTAGGTGCTGGCTTTGACTCCTTATACTTCCGTTTGAAGGACATGGGTCTTCTGCATCATACTGTGGTATATGAGGTGGATTTTCCAAGTGTGGTGTGCCAAAAAGCTACTCTGATCAAAAGAATGGAAGAGTTGTCAGCACTGGTGGGAGACACTGCAGGGGAAGGATTAGGTATGGTATTTATGCAAGGTTTTTTATGTACTAAATGTTTAGAAGAGACAAACATTCCTTCAGCTGTCAAAAAGTGAGAGATGATAGTGAGGGAACTATGAAGCTGAAAATGAAAAGCATGTTCATTTTATAAAAAAAATTGAAACAAATAATTTTTAAGCATTAGGAGATAACGAGAAGCTGCCAGGGTGGATTTGTCAGGAGCTGATTGTATCAAACCAAGGTCCGTTTCTTTCTGTTACAATTTCTGAAGTCCTGTGTCCAGATTTGAGCTCACTGGTACAAAGACAGTGGCAAACTGCAGCATGTCCAGTAGGAGGTGATGAGGGTGATGAAGTGATGGAGCTGGTGATGTAGGAGGGAGACTGAGATGACTGGATTTGTTTAGCCTTAAGGGAAGGAGGTTGTGAGGGAGGTGTCTTACTGCAGCCTTCAGCTACCTATTGGGAGAGGGTAGAAAAGATAGAGCTAGACTTTTTTTGGAGGCACAGAGCAAACAGTCAAGGGACAATGGTTGAAAGTTGCTTTGTTAATGATTTGGTTTTGGTTGAAAAGGTCAACAAACCATAGCTTATCATATTCTGGTGGAGTGCAGAGGTATGATAATACTTGCAGATCATAAACTGGAACTTGCGAGGATGATGATCTGTGAGTCAGGGCCTGGTGTTTGCAGAGCTGGCATGTATGAGTTCAGAACTCAGTGCCATTGTACAGAAATGAAATCTGTTTAGCAAGCAAACAAACCAAGCCTAAGAAGCTTGAGAAGGGTTTTCTGGTTGTGAGGCGAACCATTTGAATTCTATCAAAGCAAGGTGCTTTCTTAACCTAAACTGTAAGGCATATAATTGAGAGCCTTTAAGGTTTGATTCTGAATTACAGTGGTTCTAGAAAAACGTTCTTAAAGTAAATATGATGAAGTTTTGTTGTTATAGTAAATGTAATAATTCTATGAGAAATCTGTAGGTGAAATTTGCATTAGGAATAGTGGAGTTTTAGATCTGCATTTAATGGATCATTTGGCACTATCCCTCTATGGTTCATGTAATGATGGGGATTTTCCTGTACACGTCTCAGGGAAATACAGTTGATAGACACAGTCTTATGAGTGATTGCCTGGGGGTTTTATATTCCTGTTTATCCCTTTTGCTCTCAATATTGCAGAAGCACCGTAGTGAGATTGCATAATTTTTGTCTCCTAGGAGCCATTACCTTTTCTGGAGAGGATTATAAATTACTAGGAGTGGATTTATCAGAGCTGTCTGAGCTGGAGAGAGCCCTGGAGGAAGTAGGACTGGACAATGAAATCCCCACCCTATTCATTGCAGAGGTGGTGCTCACCTACATGGAAAACAGCAGGTCAGTTGGGTTCTCCTCCCATAGCCAGGTGACCTTGGGCTGGGAGACCTGCTCTCTTAAAACTAAAGCCTTGGGAATTCTGTGGAGTCCCAAATAGCTCCTTATATCATCATTGTGATGGTGTAATTGATGTCTATGTGATATCCTAAAAGGGAGGGAAGAAAAAAGAAAAATCTCAAATGAGTGATTTTGTTCTCTCAGAGAATTTTTTGTTCTTCTCATCCCCTCATTGTTTGCGCAGGTGGGGAGTCCCCAGCACAGCACTCTCATTTGTGTATTGCCACTTGTCAGGATGCCTCAATAGCAGCTTGATGGTGTTGCAGGAAGATGCACTGCGTATGTGTGGTGATGGGGGAGCCCTCAGTTATTAAGTGTCTTACGTGCAGCCTCCCAACAGGTCAGATGCCTTGATTCAATGGGCAGCAGAGCGTTTCCCTCGGGCCTGCTTCCTGCTGTATGAGCAGGTGCACCCAGAGGACCCCTTTGGACGTGTCATGCAGCAGCATTTCAGCCAGCTGAACTCTGCACTTCACTCTCTGACACAGTACCCTGACTGTGAGGCACAGCAGAGGCGCTTTTTGGGAAGGGTAAGCACCTGCATCTCTAGGTCATGCACAAAGCGTGACTGACCTGATAAAGATTGGAACTTTCAGTGCTTGGTCAGTGACAGGTTGAAGAAACAGGGCTGAGGCTGAGGACTGCCTCCTCTAGTAGCATGACTAGTCATTTGAAGATGCTTCCAGCCAGCTTGCAGCCTACTTTCTGATACAGGATTAAGGCACGATGGGTTCCTCCGAGACTTTTGTTAAAATAAATTAAGTTCTTAAGAGCTTTAGAGATAAGAGATCTATTTTCACCAGATTTTGGGCTGCTGTTATTTCAGCTGGACAGTTTTAGCAGCTCATGCAAGTGTTTAATTTAGGGTCTTTGTTTTCTTATGGGAAGTGAGTTTCTGTCCTTCCAGAGGTGATTACTTTGAGGGATTTTTCTTTTAGGGCTGGACTGAGTGCAGTGTCATGGATATGAATGAGTTTTTCACCTGCTGTATTCCAGAAGACGAACAGCAAAGAGTGCAGGCTCTGGAGCCTTTTGATGAGTATGAGGTAACCCTCCTTTATTCTAAAGATCAGCAACCTGGCTTTGATGCCATGAGGTGTCTGCAGTTTCTCACGGTCGCAGTTCTGTACAGGGCTGTTGGGGTTCAGGTGTTCATGGAGGCGGAAAGGACCCTGGTCCAGCTTGGTTAACACAGAGGCTGCAGGGAGCTCCAGGTGAAGCTGGAGCATGGGAAGTAGGCTCTCCTTGATGTTAGAAAAGCTTTGTGTTCCTTCCCCAGTGAGCGGTCTCTCAAGGAGACAGTCTTGGCATAGCAAACTGGCTGGTAGTATGAAAGATGTTTTAGATGTTAAAAGTTTGCATGGATTCAAGGGGCAATTGTTTTGATGAAAGAGAAATACCTTAAGGATTACTGGCTACATAAAAACACACCTGATGTGATGTTCCTGACTGCAAGTGGTTGGTAGCATTCTTGGGGAAAGGAGATGCACTTGTCCTGTTCTCTTCCGTTTGTGTCACTACTTTATTTTTTGTTATTGTTGAATACAGGCTACTAGTTCCAGATACTTTTTGGTCTGATTTTGTACAACCGTTCCTATATTAATGATTGAAATTCAACTCTGACTTTATTCTTTGCCATTTTTATGTTAACTGCTGGCAAAGTTTCTGACTATTTGAAATCTAGAAGTGAAGGTAAGTGCAAGGTAGTGAATAACTTTGAGCTAAGTATCCTGTGAAATGCTTACCAGAAGTTTTCCTTTCGATTTTGTAGTTCCCTGCTTATAATTCTAGAAATCCAATAGCTGCAGCAGGAAAATAGTTTAATATGCTTGCATTTATTTTGCCAACATGCAGGATATGCTCTGCTATGTGAATGCAAAAGTGATGACTGAAAGTGCTGGCAGACTTGCAAAGTGGTTTAGGAATGTGTGCAAGAACTGTTGTAGATCCAGGTCATTGCTCATACAGTGGGGAAGGTAAAGACTTGGTATTGTTGCTGGAAACATGCATAAGAGTAAATGATGTGATAACAGAGAGCTCTACAATTAGTCTTTGAGAGAAAGATTAAGTAAGATCCAGGTCTTGCTGTAAACAAGCTTGGTCAAATTAGGTAAGAAATATAAAATACACACTTAGTGCTGAGGGAGACATTTTTTGAATAATTTACCTAGGGACTAATAGTGGATCCTCCCATTTTCAGTATTTACATTAATTTCTGGATGCCACTTTTCAAAAGATGCTTCTAGTAGAGGTTGGGGCAATGATGCTGATAATGGGGTTTATTTTGTCTTTTAAATTCATGTTTATGCTTTGTAGTTGTATAGTTGGCTGAATATATCCCACCCCATGGGAATGGACGTACTCAATTCCCTAGTGTCCATAAAGGCTGGGGTGGACTAACATTGCTACTGACTTCCTGTATTTTCCTGTTGCTTGTGCTTTTGCCTCAGAATGCTCCCAAGGCCAGACTGAAAATTATATGTATCTTTATGTATTATCATCCAGCACAGACCGTGTTGCACCTTTGAACATTTGTGATTTCTTTGGAATCACTTATATTCCATGAACCTTAAGAAACCTTAATCCCTCTGGTATAGAGCCCTCGCTCTTTCTGTGATCAGAACTGGGAAGCATAAAGAAACTGATTCCAAAAAGAAAAGCTTCCTCATGCAACTTATAGTTAAGCTATGGAACTCATTCCTACAGCATGTAGGAACAACACCCTGTAGCATGTTGGACGTGTTAAAAGTTTATGTGAGTTCAAAGAACAAGTGAATGCATTTCATGGATGAGAAATCCATCAAGGATTGTTCAATAAAAAGACACAGCTTCTTGCTTAGAAGATCCCTGAGCTGTAAATTTTTGAAGATTGAAGTGGGGAATGTATTTACACACCTTCTCTTTCTCAGATTCAGCCTTAGACCTCCGATTTTGACACCTGTTGGAAACAGTGCAACACTGTGTTGGTGTTTGATTTGATCACCCTGGCTGTTCTGAGATCCTTACTGCTTCTTGCTCTGAGATTTTGAGGGGGATTGTTTTTTGTTTTTGTTTTTTCTTTCCTTTGGGCTTGCTACAGGATTGGCATCTGAAATGTTCTCATTACTTTGTGTTGACTGCATCAAAGGGGATGGATCCTTCCTGGACTCCGTTGTTACCCAGTGTGACAGGTACACTCCAAACTAGTTTTTGCAGTATGTTTTTGTCTCATGCAGGTTATTCTCTGAGAGGTTTTAGGAGACAGTGAAATCCTGGAAGGGGCAGATGGAATTCTGCTGTCTGGTAGCTTTCTCCACCCTTTTAATAATGCTGTTCAGGGCCACAGCCTGGCACTGCTGGTTCTGATCAGGTCCATTCTTTCAGTTTATTGAGCTTTCTAGTCTAAACAGCATGTCCTTCTGTTTATACGTAGGCCCCCCCCAGGTACCTGCCAACCCACCCTGCTCTTCCTGCTGTTTTTGGGATCTCCCTTTTGAAGTTATTCCTGCTTACCTCCTTATGTAGCTCTCTGAACCATTCTCTCCTTCTGGCTTCCAAAAGGTTGTTCTGTTTTCCTTATTACCCTGTCCAGCAGAGCAGTCAGGAGCCTGTCATGAAGCTATGCTTTGCTTTGTTATCCCTTGTACCTGTAGTATTTCTGTTTGTGAAATGCTTTTAAATCTGTATGTCACTTCTTTTAGATGGGAGGAAAGTGGTATAGTGGGGAAAAGCCAAGACCAAGACTGTGTTTCCATGATAAGGATTTGGCAGCAGTAGCAGTCCAAAGAATTCCTGCTTTTGGCTGCTTTCTTCCTTTTTCAGAGTGGAAAGCAGAAGGTTATTTTTAACCTGTTTCATATCATTAGTCTTCATAGATTGGTACCACAAGTAGTTCTATCTGCAACAGAAAGTTGAAGTCTGTATTTTAGGGAGCAAGAAAAGCAGCTGAAAAAGGATAGGGCAGGATGGCATTTCTGAGGCCAGCGAGGCCACTGAATCCATAGTGTTGTGTCTTGATTAGATCTGAAAACATGAAATTGAAGCTAAGTGAATGTGGGTGTGGTTGCATATACTGTGTGATTGTCACTGGTCCTTGTGAGGCTTTAAATTCTTAAAGGCTCCTAAATGTGTAGTGTCTATCCTTAAGTTAAAGTCCCTTTGCTTAATGGACTTTATTGCAGTCAGGACACTTGATTCATTAGAGGCAGGAGTAGAGTCTTTCTGCTGCTGTCTCTCTTGTATTCAAAACTGACAGCAAAAGCCTTCAAAGTCTGATAAATGTCCATGATTAGATATTTTTTACTGGGAATGCAAAAGGTATGTCTCTAATACAAGTAAATGCCCCCAGTTATCCTCTGAGGTAGATTTGGGTCCCTATTCAGGAGAGTGCAACTACTAAATCTTCAAAACAGATCATGGTAAGTATATTTTCTGATATGAAAAAACTCCTCAGTCTTAAAAAGTTCCATCTTTAGAAAGACATTTAATCCCAAGGAGATGAAATTTCTTACTTCATCAAATGCTAAAGTAGGGTCTTGTAGTAAACGATATTCAGTACAGGCAATTTTTCTGAAAAACGGAATGAGAGCCACTTCTCCACCTCATCATCTCTAATAATACAAGAATAAAGGTCTTTATTAAATCACAGAAGACACAAATTCCATTTCAAGTGAGAGATAATGTATGCCATCTTTTCAAGATGGTCTTCTCGGGAAGCAAAAATTGAGAAGCAAGTTGACAGAGCACACAGACAATCTGACGTACCCTAGAAATCAGGGTGTAATGGTTAAAACTATCAGTTTCCTTTTAATCAGAGATTAAAAGAAAACAATATGTACAATATGTTAGTGAGCCAGAATCCTGTGCTGAGAGTTTTTATGTTAAGGGGTATAGTATTTAGAGAGAAGATACTTAGGTCACTGGAAATATTCTCTTATAGTAGGACCACTGGTGTTTATGTAGATCATTTGTCATGCTTCAGAACTTTATTTCAGTGCTTTGTGAAAGTAGGATCAAAATCTAGCAAGAAACTTTGAAATCAACTTCCTGACTTTTGTCCTTTCTCTGCTGTTCTTTGCAATTCATGTAGCCAAATATTGTCTTAACCAGACCAGCACCAAAAGGTGCTCCTTTTGAAGGCACTTCACTGGTTCATATCTTGCTGCAGCAGCTTAGGACACCGCAGGCTCTTGGCCAGTCTTACCTCCACCCCACGAAAGCAGTCTCAGAACTGTCAGGAGCTGAGTGAGCAGTAAGTAAAGTTGGCACAGTGATAGTTTTAACCATTACAGCCTGATTTCTAGGGCATGTCAGATTGTGTCTGACATGTCTGTGTGCTCTATCAACTTGCTCCTCAATTTTTGCTTCTCGAGAAGATCATCTTGAAAAGATGGCATACATTATCTCTCACTTGAAATGTAGTCCTTGGTTTGTGTTTGTGCGTAAGTTCTTTGGTTCTCTCTGGCTTACAGTTCCTCACCATGCTGGTCCTGTTGGAATGGCTGGGAGCATCCCTGCAGCAGTGTGTGCAAGGCTCTCGGGAATTCCTGGCCTGAGACGTTACGGTCACTGCTCTGTTCTTATAAAACCCGATGTGATTCTCACCACTGGAGGCTTTGGGGAGGAGGATGGACAACACTGCCGCCTGAGAAATTTCCATGTGCTGAGTAAGCATGCAGGCTGCTGGAAAGCTGACTGTGTGACAAAGAAACATCCTGATAAAAGATGGGGTGAGTTCCCACACTGATGGCAAGTGTAAGGGAGATACCTTTGTGCTAAAAGTGAAAGAATGTCTAGAAAAAGTGGTGTCAGAGCACAGTGATGCTGGCAGTCACAGAGATCTGAAGGTTTTGAATGCTAAATGCTCGGTCCTGCCCTTTGATCACCACAACTCCATGCAGTGCTCCAGGCTGGGGGCAGAGTGACTCGAAAGCTGGAAAAAGATCTGGGAGTGCTGATCGACAGTGGCTGAACATGAGCCCAGGTGGGCAAGAAGGGCAGTGGCATGTGGCTAGTACCAACCATAGTGTGGGCACAGGCTCAGGGCAGGAATTGTTCCCCTGAGGCCCCTCAAGAACTGTGTCCAGTTCTGGAACCTCATGGAAGAGAGACATTGAGGAGCTGGAGCATGTCCAGGGAAGGGAACGGAGCTGGAGTCATAGAATCATAGAATGGTTTGGGATGCAAAGGACCTTAAAGATCATCTAACTCCAACCATCTGCCATGGGCAGGGACACCTTCCACTATCTCAGGTTGCTCCAAGCCCTGTCCAGTGTGGCCTTGGACACTTCCAGGGATGCAGAGGCAGCCACAGCTTCTCTTCCCAACCTGTGCCAGGGCCTGCCCACCCTCACAGGGAAGAATTCCTTCCCAATATCCCTTCTAACCCTGCCCTCTGTCAGTGGGAAGCCATTTCCCCCTGTCTTGTCCCTCCAGGCCCTTGTCCAAAGTCCCTCTCCAGCTCTCTTGGAGCCCCTCTGGACACCAAGAGGTGCTCTGAGGTCTCTCTGGAGCCTTCTCTTCTCAAGGCCAAACAGCCCATACTCTCTCAGCCTGACTCCAGAGCAGAGGGGCTCCAGCCCCATAATCAACTCAGTGGCCTCTCTACTTGTTCCAACAGCTCCATGTCTTTATTGTGCTGGGAGCCCCAGAGCTGGACTCCAGGTAGGGTCTCAGAAGAGCAGAATAGAGGGGGAGAATCACCTCTGTCAACCTGCTGCCCACGCTTCTTTTGATGCAGCCTGGGACATGATTGATTTTTCTGGGCTACAAGCGCACACTGCTGAGTTATACTGAGCTTTTTGTTCACAAACACCCCCAAATCCTTCTCCCCAGGGCTGCTCTCAATATGTTCTCTGCCCAGCCTGTATTTGTGCTGGGATTGCCCTAACTCAAGAGCAGGACCTTGCACAACATTAGGCTGGCACAGTCCCACCTCTCCAGCCTGTCCAGGTCCCTCTGGATGCCCCATCCTTTCCCTTCAGCCTTCAGTGACTGCACCACACAGCTCCGTGTCATCGGCAAGCATGCTGGAGTGCCACTGATTTCACTGTCCCTGTCACCAACAAAGATGTCAAACAGTACTGGTGCCAGTACTGACCCCCGAGGGACACCACTTACTGCTGGTCCCCACTGAGATGCTGACTGTGACTGAGTGAGACCATCCAGCCAATTCCAAGACTACCAAGTAGTCCATCTGCCAAATCCATGTCTTTCCAGTTTAGAGACCGGATGTTGTGCTCAGGCAGTGTCAAATGCTTTGTACAAGTCCAAGTAGATGGTGTCTGTTGCCCTTCCCTCATCCACCACTGCTGTAATCTCACCACAGCAATAGCTGAGGGACCGGGGGGAGCTCACCCTGGAGAAAAGGAGGCTCAGAGGGGACCTTGTCACTCTCTGCAGCTCCCTGACAGGAGGGGAGAGGTGGGGGAGGATCAGGCTTTGCTCCCAGGGAACAAGGGACAGGACAAGAGAAAACGGCCTCAAGTTGTGCTAGGGGAGGCTCAAGTTGGATATGGAGAAAATTGTCTCCAAGGAAAGGGTTGTCCATGCCTGGCATGGGCTGCCCAGGGCAGTGGTGGAGTCCACATTCCTGGAAGGATTTAAAAACTGCGTGGATGTGGCATGTAGGGTCATAGTTTAGTTGTGACTTTGACATTGCTGGGGGAATGGTTGGGCTCGATGATCTTTTCCAACCTAAGTGATTCTGTAAACTTGGAAAAAACGTCTGTGTGAACTGTGGTGTTTTGTGTCTCTGCAGGTGAGCGGTTGTATCACACTGTGTCCTGTGTCTCAGACAGTCTGGCCCTGGTGGTAGGAGGACGAATGTCCCCATCAAGTGCAGGCTTGGGAATGTTGTGGCTAAAGTTCCCTGAAACCTATAATGCTTCAGACCCAGATGACATTGCAGTGGAGCTTGTAAATCCGCAGCCTGCTGCTGAACCAGCAACTTTGCGTTGGAGACACAGCACAACTGAAGTGTCATTCAAAGGTAAAAAGCCTGGAAAGAGTGGAAATGGCCATAGATAGGCAGGACCTTGCACTTGGTCTTGTTGAACTTCATATTGACCCACTTCTCAAGCCTGCCAGTAGGAAAGAAATTAAAAGAGGCTTTGAGATCTTGGTGCTTGAAATGTGATAGTTTTGTATTTTGTATGCTATATAACCCTCAGTGGTAAGTGGAATTGAAACCTAGGGATGTAATCTATTCTGGAAGACTGATTCTTTGAGATCATTTGTGGCTGAAGTTATTCTTTCTTGATCACACCAGAAGGAAGTTTTGCTGTCTCCAAAGGATTTTTTTTTGGAGCAGAATTTCTAGCTCTTTATCCAGAAGTGCCTCAGAAGTGTTACTTTTCTAGTAGGAATTGACAAATACTCAGTAGTTGTGAAGGGCTCTAGAATCAGATCCTGCAATAGTAAGCTGATGGTTGGCCAAGTAAAAGATCCTGACTCTGAGGGGCAAAAACTTAAGCAGTGGCATTCAGAAGCTGAAAGCTGTCCTTTCCTAAGCTGTCCCATTCCTGCCAGTGGACAGGGAGCTCTCCAAGAGGAGCAGAAGGGAATTGTTAAGCAGTTGGTAGTCTAGTCTGGAGCATAATTTCCATTTGTGGAGCAGTGTTAAGTTAAAAGTGGAATGTAGTTTAGAGTTCAGCCTTCCAGTTAGAATTTTATATCAAAGAAGCAAATGTGAAATGGTTAAGTAAAATTTGATAAATATTACATTGTCAGATTGTATTGTTTCATCTTATTTTTGCCTTGATATTGCTTTGTAGGTGAAGGAAGTGACCAACACAGGTGTTATCAACAGTCCATTCTGAAGCAGAGAAAGGACAGGGCATAGTGCATTGAATGCATGCTCTTGACATCTATCCAAAGTACTTTTGCACCCTTTTTAACCTCCTTTTTGAAGCTTCTCCATATTAACAAATACACATTCATGTTCTGAGGATTTATCAGTTTTCCTGAGATGAATAGTTGTCATTGAACTGCTGTGATTTAGATACTGAGTGTTTTCTAGTTTTATTAGTTCTACAGGAGTCATTTTTCCATTGCCTAGAATTCCATTCCCTAAGTCCATTAGGTATGTTGGAAAGCATGGTTTCTTCTCTTCATTTTGAGCCTAGAGTGTGTGACTTCCATTCCTTAAACATTCCAGACTGTAACCATTTAGCAGCTACATAAAGTAAGTGGATGATGTGATCTTCTGAATGACCACAAACATGAAGAGTGCAGGTTCTTAGTAAAAGTGTTTAGGATGGTCTTGTGCAGGGCTAAGGGTGGGACTTGATGATCCTTATGGGTTCCTCCCAACTCAGCATATTCTGTGATTCTGTGATTCCATGTGCCTTATAAAAGATCTAGGTACAAGAGTAGTTCCAGTATCTACAAAACAATTTCTTGTCTTTATTGCTGAAGTCTGGAGTTGTTTGTCAGGTTGCAGGATGTCTTAAAGAAATAGTACTTAGAGCTTCTGCCTGACTGCAATAATTTCTGTCTTCAGTCAGCTTCCCTTCTATGCAGACAGAAAGTTTTGCTTTGGTGACATACTAAATTCTTTGTCTTTTCACCTGGTTGTGTGTTTCTGTAGGTGAGCAGTACCTGTTTGTGTATGGGGGCCGCTCTGCTCTGGAGCCTGTGCTTGGGGATTGGTATTTTCTGCACACTCGAGAACTCTCCAGCACTCTGGTAAGAATGTACTCCATGGTGATTGAAGTTAGAGCTGACTTCTAAACATCCTGCTTTTTAGTGGAATACAGTCTTCACTGACAGTCCTTGACCACCCTGGTAGTACAATGTGAGGGGTTTTATGTTTAAGTGGATTTCTTTGTATGCCAATTTGTGCCCATGGCTTCTTGTCCTGTTGCCGGATGATACTGAGAGCATTCTGTCTCTGTCTTCTATCCCCTCTGCCATCATGGACTTGTCTAGCTGAGTGCTTGACACTTTCGCAGAAGAATACTGTTAGAGACAGTATAAAAGGCTTTGCTAAAACCAAAACCACTCCCACATCTGCTGTCTTCCCTCAGTCAACTAGATTGCTGAATGTGTTGTAAAAGGAAATTGAGTTAGAGGACATCCCTCTTGGGAACCTGCTGGTGACTGGCCACCAGCCTGATGTAACCCCATTTACTGTCAGTCTTTGAGCCCAACCTTGTACATAGCACAGCATAGGGGGAGAGATGCCTAACTGTAGGTCACAAGCTAAACATGAGTAAAATATCATGCTGTTGTGGGAGGCCTAAACTCTGTCTTCAGATATGTAACCAGGACACAACAAGAGTGCTCACATACCTCACAGGGCAAAGTTTTGAAGGACTTGTAGCTGTTTAGTCTGGAGAGGATTCAAGATCTTCAAATATGTAAAATATCACTGCAGAGAAAAGAAAAAAATTTTCTTCATTTTTACTTTGAGTAGTATGGAGAATCAAGTGGACACTAAGATAAGCTATTGATTGTGGAGTTAGGCTAGCCAAGTGCTGCAACAGACTGCTTAAAGAGGTGAGAAATTCTTGTCACTGCAGACTTTCAGAAACTGTTAAATAAACATCTATGCAGATTATAATAGAAATAGTTTCATTTATTTTAGGGGAAAGAGATGGACAAGGTGGCCTCCAAATTTTTCTCCACTACTTGCTTGCTATGATATAAACACCTGATTTTACATTTTTTCCTTTAGTGCTTGCACTGAAGGGTTTTTTTCCTGCATTTTAGTCCTGCAGTTCAGCCTGTTATTGTGCTCTGTGGTTTGAGCCACTGATCACCTGCTTTTCTGGTCACTGCCTTAGTCCATGTGTTTGTAAACAAACTCAGGCTTCTCAGGTGTGTCTCTTGAGCAGAAAGCAGCATGCAAGAATGCACATCGAGTTACCTGTAATAAATGGGCAGAAATAAACCCTCTAAAGACTGATCATATTAAATATACTGAGGGCCAGAGAAATATTTGAGATAGTGTAATTAGAAGCACTTGTATTTAGCAGTTTCTAGAGGAATTAGTGGATAAGGTTGGGTGTCAAAAAACCACACAGGAAAAAGCAATTTAAAAGCCTGGACCTTAAGAAGACACTTAGCTTGGCAAACTGCAGCCTTGGACCTGTGTTTTTCTAGATTGCTGTTGAGGGTCCAGTCCCAGAAAGCCGCCACTCTCACAGTGCCTGCAGCTGGGAAGGAGGAGTGCTCATCGCGGGAGGTCTGGGAGCAGCTGAGCAGCCCTTGGGTTCAGTTTTCCTTCTGAGGGAGCTTGAACATGGCTTTCGGTGGCAGGCAGTAGAGACACACCCTCCTCTCATCCCAAGGTGAGCAGAAGGCGCTCATAGCATCATAGAATAATTTGATTTGGAAGGCACCTTTTAAAGGCCATCCAGTCCAACCTCCCTGCAATGAGCAGGGGCATCTTCAAGTAGACCAGGGTGCTCAGAGCATTCATCACTGAATCTTCAGCCTGTCTCTACCAACCTCCCTTACTAATGGGGTTCAATCTCATTTTGAACTCACAGGTATTCACATACTGCACATGTGCATGAAGGAAAGCTTCTGCTCGTTGGTGGAGTGTGGTTTCACACATCCTCTGTGCCTGGCATCACTGTCATTGACCTAATGACTGGCCTCTGCTTGGACTATGTGATTAATGTGGTAAGTACTGAAATTTTTCTTTCAGGGTAAGCAGTGTTGCATGAAGGAAGATGGTAACTTTAGGGCTGTTCCTTGAAACTGAGTAGAAAAAGCAAAGTTGGCAAAGCTGGGAGTGGAATAAACATTCCCTTTTTGAGGGAGAATCTGATTCTGAAGCACTTTTACCAGTACAGAGAATATAATGGTATTAAGAGAGAGAGAGACTGCGTGGCAGAAGACTGGAGGACATGGAGCTGTTCTGTTCCAGACAGGGGCAGTAGAACTGAAATGGGCACAAACATAGTCCCTTCAGGATATCTGTGGAGGAAGGGAACAGGTCAACTGAGAGCCTCAGTGAGTCTTTATGGAGGTCTGTGGTATAATTTCACTGAGAACTTCTTAGTGGAAAGTGCAGTGTGTTATAGCTGCTGCCTGGAATACAAGAAAAAACAGCATGGAAATACTGGAAGCTTCACTGAAACATAAGAAAAGTTTACTGTAAGGGTCACTGAACACTGAACAGAGAGGCTGTGGTGTCTCCATTAACAAGGAGATATCTCCATTAACATGGAAATATTCAAAACCTGACTGGGCAGGGTACTGAGCAACCTGCTGTAGGGAAGCCAGCTTTGAAAAGGAGTGGTTGGACTGGATGACACCCTCAGGTCCCTTCCAACTTTAACTATTCTTTGACTTTCTTCTATGAATCACTGAAGAACAGTCATACAGGTGATGTCACATAGTAGGATTTTGGCACACTCTGGGCAAAACTTGGTCTGTACGTGTGAGTAGCCCTCACCTCAGATAATACTGTCTGGAGTAAAAGAAAGACATAGATCTGTTGGAGTGAGTCCAGAGCAGGGCCACAAAGATGATCAGAGAGCTGGAGCACCTTTCCTGTGAGGATATTCTGAGAGAGTTGCAGTGGTTCAGCCTGGAGAGAGAGGGTTCTGGGGAGACCTTAGAGGCCCTTCCAGTGCCTAAAGGGGGCTTATGAGAAAGATGGGGACAGACTTTTTAGATGGGCCTGTAGTGATAGGACAAGAGGTGATAGTTTTCATCTAAAGGACAGTAGCTTTAACCAAGGTATAAGGAAGAATTTTTTTATGAAGAGTGTGGTGAAGCCGTGGCACAGGTTGCACAGAGAAGCTGTGGCTGCCCTGTCCCTGGAAGTGTCCAAGGCCACGTTGGACAGGGCTTGGAGTAACCTAGGCTGGTGGAAGGTGTCCCTGTCCATGGCAGGGGGGTGGAAAGAGATGGTCTTTAAAGGTCCCTTCCATCCCAAACCATTCCATGATTTTGTAAGAAAACTTCTGTTGCTTGACAAGTTATTTAAGTAAAGAAACAACTTTCTTTAGGTAGCTGTACGTGTGGAACCTGTCCTTGGTGAAACTGGAATTTGTGACAGGTCAGGTTTTTTTATGGTGGATAGTATATGTGCATCTGACTGACCTTGCAGCATTTTCTTGGAGGCATAAAGCATGAAGCATCCTTAAATGTAGCTTAGTTTTTAGTTACTGTCTGTAGCAGAAGTTGTAAGGGGCCTCATATCCTTTAGATAAAATAGGCTGCCCTTGCTGGACAGCAGTGAGGGTGGGTAGGGTGATAATAAAGTTGTATCTAAAAGAATATAACTTTTTTGTTTACATTAAGTGGATGCAGGTGGATTGGTAGCTGCCTTTGCTTATGAGCTGTTTCCTTTGGCTTCGGTGAAACTCTCTAGGCTTTTGAACCTACCAGTTACATAGTAAGCTTTGGAACTCCTTGTCACAGCCCAGGAATGCCACAGATTTCCATTGAAGCAAAAAGTGACTGGTGTTGCCCTCTTGGGAAACCATTAGGGTTCAAGGGTAACCAAGACATTCTCTCCCATTAAAAGCACTGAATTGCAAGTTGGTGGGTGGGTTGGTGTACTGGAGGATTGTACCTCATTGGTTCTTTGTTCTGTATTCTCTTACTATCTCTTTTTGCCCACATTCATGGGTGATACGGTGAACCATGTGAAGTCTTGTATGTTGAAAATCTTTCCTTTTTCAGGAGCATCTGGAGTGGCCATTAATGCTACATAATCATAGCAGTGTCTTTCTGCCAAATGAGAAGGAGTTGTTGGTTATTGGTGGTGGTGGGAACTGCTTCTCCTTTGGGACACACCTGAACCCAGAGCCTGTCTCATTGAGCCTTGACAGCATCCTGACCAGTCACTGATTGGGACCAAGCAGGGCTGAACTGTGCTGCAGCGCTGTGGGGAGACACCTGTTCACTTGGAGGTCCAAGGTTTCCACAAGGGCCTTGTATCCAGAATGCATTTGTGAAGGTGGGATCAGGAGGGCCGGTTTACAACAAGGGGCTCACCATCCTTTGCTTTGGTGCAGCCCTTCCTATTGCTGTAAATAAAGGGCCTCAGAAACGGCTGTTGCAGAGGGTCTTAGAGGTGAAGTGAGGGTCAGACTTTGTTCAAAGTCTGACCTGAATTCATAGAACCATGGAATGGTTTGGTTTGCAAGGCAGATCATCCAGTTCCACACCCCTTCCATGGGCATGGACACCATCCACTATCCCAGATTGCTCCAAGTCCTGTCCAACCTGGCCTTGGAGAGTTCCAGGGATGGGGCAGTGACAGCTTCTCTGGGCAACATCTGGCAGGGCCTCCCCACCCTCACAGGGAAGAATTCCTTCCCAATATCCCATCTATCCTATCCCTCTGTCAGTGGGAAGCCATTCCCCCTTGTCCTGTCACTCCAGGCCCTTGTAAATAGTCTCTCTTCATCTTTCTTGCGGGTACTGGAAGGCTGCAGTTAGGTCACCCCAAACCCTTCTCCAGGCTGAACAATCGCAATTCTCTTGGCCTTTCCTCCTAGCTGAGGTGCTTCAGCCACCTCTGGACTTGGTCCAACAGGGTGATGTCCTTCCTGTGCTGTTTCCCAGGGCCGAAGGCAGCTCTACCGGGGGGGGTCTCACCTGAGAGCACAGAGGGCCAGAATTTCCCCCTGCCCTGCTGCCCACACTGTAGGATCAGCCAAGCACACAAGAGTTTCTGGGCTGGGCCATGTCCAGCCTCTCACCCACCAGCATCCCCAGGTCCTTCTCCCAGGTCTCCTTTTGATGTGTTTATCTCCGAACCTGGATTAATATTTGGGGTTACCCTGACCCAGGTGCAGCACCAGCACATCTGGATGGCATCCAGTCCTTCAGGATGTGGAGTTGCTGGAGTGAATCCAGAGGAGGCCATGGAGCTGCTCTGAGAGCTGGAGCCCCTCTGCTCTGGAGCCAGGCTGGGAGAGCTGGGGGGGCTCACCTGGAGAAGAGAGGGCTCTGGGGAGACCTGAGAGCCCCTGCCAGCACCTAAAGGGGCTCCAGGAGAGCTGGAGAGGGACTGGGGACAAGGGATGGAGGGACAGGACACAGGGAATGGCTTCCCCCTGCCAGAGGGCAGGGTTAGATGGGATATTGGAAAGGAATTCCTGGCTGTGAGGGTGGGCAGGCCCTGGCACAGGGTTCCCAGAGAAGCTGTGGCTGCCCCTGGATCCCTGGAAGTGTCCAAAATGAGGTTGGACGGGTCTTGGAGCAACCTGGTCCAGTGGGAAGTTCCCTGCCCACAGCAGTGAGGTGGTATTTGATGATCGTTAAGGTCCCTTGCAATCTAATCCTGTGATTCCATGATGATTCTCTGATTGACTGCATATCGGTTGTTGGGTTCAGCGAAATTGTTCAAATTCACTTTGGTTTTCTTCTCTCCTTGTTTGTTTTCTCCCAATATTTCCAGAATTTTTTTTCTAGTTATTATCTCACCTTACAAGTTTTTTTCTCCTTTTCTTCCTTACTGAATTGGCAGGTTGTGTTAAAGCACAAAACCCTTCCCCAGCTCTATTGCCCTTCTCCAGACACACTCCAGCACCTCAATGTCTTTATTGTTATGTGGGGCCCAAAACTGACCCCAGGATTCGAGGTCTGACCTCACCAGTGCCCAGCCCAGGGGGATGATCACTGCCCTCATGTTATGGAGGCTCCTGAAATTGAGACAAACCACCTATTCAAAAGAGATTTATTTGATGAACCAGTTAACCCCCCAGAAATTACAGATCCAACAACAGCTGAAAACTGTTTCATGATGTCAAATGGAATTGTTACAACCTGACTGATCTTAGGAATCCCAACGGTTTGAGCAGGACAACCTGGAAGGCATGGTCATGTGCCTGAGGCAGTGAGGGCTCTCCTCGGGGCCCTGCCTGCCCCATGAT